TATTATTTATTATTATTTATAAATGCTGCCTGCTAAAAAATTTGATCAGGTTCACGTCTTTCTTGCAAAATGTTATGATCATATTTCTGTTCTCACTGTCCATACTCATCCTTCTCAATATCCAACTATCCAGAAATAACACCCCTCCACTCACACACAATCCAAAAACACTATATATAGTTTATTTATTATTTATTATTATTTATAAATGCTGCCTGCTAAAAAATTTGATCAGGTTCACGTCTTTCTTGCAAAATGTTATGATCATATTTCTGTTCTCACTGTCCATACTCATCCTTCTCAATATCCAACTATCCAGAAATAACACCCCTCCACTCACACACAATCCAAAAACACTTAAAAACTGCCACATTGGCAAGTTATCAACCAACATCCACTGATCTGAGTCCGACTGAGAGTCACATGAAAACCATCACTAGGTCCACTAACCCTTTAATACGGCTCATGTCAGGAAGGGTGGTGCTGATTATTGGTCGTGGCATGGCTGGTCAGTTCCATCATGTTACCATGGTTACCATTACCATGCCACCTCGATTGGTGCCTGAAACTGTAACATAAAGAGGGACGAGAAATGAGCGCCGAACATATTCTAAATGCTCGGACTGTACGTGCGCATATGGGCAGCTATACATGGGCGTGTGATTGGAATTGCCAAAGCAAAGGTGGTCCCAGCAGTCTAGGCCGGCTGGCAGGAAAACAGATATCATTATGGAGCTGTTTGATATGCATACTGACATGCTCACGCACACACACACACACACACAGAAGCACCTGACACTCCATCATGATGTCGTCCCTGTACCTCCCAGGGGGCTGCAGGCATTCGCTGGCGTCAGAAACACATTACAGTTGAGAGATTGAGGAGCCAGAGGCCATTATCTCCCCTCTACAGCACACAGCACTGCTCTCCTCCTGCAGAGACACAGAAAAACACTGAATTAGGGGAAGTGTGTGTGTGTGTGTGTGTGTGTGTGTGTGTGAGTGTGCATGAATTTGTCTGTGTGTGAAGGAGAGAAAAAAAGAGCGATATTTTGTCTGTTTATCCAAAATTTATCCAACAGAGATATTAATGTGGCTTCAGCAAACACATCTTGAAATGAAAGCAATATATTATCTGAAAATCGCCTCGTTTATGGGAAGATATCCTCATTTTTATGAGAGAAAAATACTCTTGTGTCTCTTTTTAATTCTTGCATTGCCCCTATAATCATACAGAATATAATGTAATATTGAAGAATTGATGTTTTGAATGTCTGGTAACAATGGCAAGATTGGTGACCTGTAATCTGTCTCTGTTTTTAAGCCAAAGGTATTGATGGCCTTATTTTGACAAATTGATGTTTTTGTCAAGATTATGTTTTTTTAATCACTTTAAGATTTCTACCATTGATGTATTTAGCGATGCTTCATTGATGCTTTCCAGTCTCCCCAGAGTTTGTAATTGTGCATGTTATTTTAATCAGATAAATATTTAAAATGTATTGACGTTCGGTTTCATTAAGTAGATAATTAAGGCACAAATGGTTCATGGATGTGGTGGACACACA